TGCTGTTTGAAATTTGGTCACTTGCCAGAGTTTATTATCTCTATTATTTTTTCACAAAATCTAATGGTGTTATATATAAGAAAAGCACATTTAGTGTCCTTTGCTATGGTACTATTGCGAATTCACTCAAAGTTATTGTTTGCAATATGGATCTTTTCCTAAATGTTTAATATATGAATTAAATCGTAAAGAAAACTAATCTAAATCAATTTTTTCTTTTAATCTGATCATGAAGAAATCATTATTTATTCTTTAATTTGTTAACATTAGTACTTCATACTTGGTAGACATACAGACCCCTTTATAAGCTTATTCTGGCTTGACCTTACAAATGTAAGTGCTGTTGTCAGAGCATTAAAAGGTAGGAAACTACAGAATGATGCATGCTCACAGTATGAGAAAAGGATCAGAAGTCTGTAATAGATAGATAAAAGAAAAATGAAAGTAAAAGGTCTTACGGACTTTCACCCAGTGTACCATGTATGCCTGAGTGTAGTAAATAATGTGTGTTGTCTTTTAGGAGGTATAAGATTAGCCATTTTTACAGCTCAGTGCTCTTGTACATATTTTATTTAATATTTCTATTGATACTAATGTTTAGTAGATTCCTTGAAAAAAAGTAAAATTTCAATTTTTCACAGTTTGAAGCAGCATGGGCCCTAACCAACATAGCCTCTGGCACAAGCACGCAGACCCGAATTGTAATAGAAGCTGGTGCAGTACCTATCTTCATCCGCCTCTTGAGCTCAGATTTTGAAGATGTCCAAGAACAGGCTGTTTGGGCACTAGGCAACATTGCAGGAGATTCACCAGATTGCCGTGATTATGTTTTGTCTGAAAATATTCTTATGCCTCTATTACAGTAAGTATTGATAGTAAGTATTTGATGATACAATTTAATGTACAATAGTATCTTCATGATTGGATAATAGAATAAAAATTTTGTTTTTTGGTTTCACTTTTTTCTAGAGCCAGCACACCAAAAATTGTTCTAATTGGCACTAGAAGATACTAAAGCTCCTACTAAGAATGTATTGTGTAGAGTTGGCCTTAACCCTTTGAGGCTTCTCTCTAATCCTTCTCAACAACAATTGTCTACTCACTAGTACCTTCTCACCAATACCCCCCAAACACCCTATCCTTATTCTATACACCAAGAATAGGGTATGAGGTGGGTGTAGGGTGCCCTTTGATATCATTTAGAGCAGTTTCTCATGTTCTGGCTGATGTTTGGCAAACTTGCTTTCTGAGGCTATTGTACATTAAAAAAATGTAGCTTGCAAGATTTAAGACTTGTTTCAATTTGTGAATATAGCCATTCACAAATGATGAGTTGTTTTTTTCATGATAGCTATAAGTGTGCCTTGCAGTAAGAGGTTAAATGTTTGATAATGATAAAATGAATTTTAGTGCTGGGAAGAACATATAGAGGGTGTATAGGTTGATATTTAAAGCTAGCAAAAATTGAAAAATAGTCGATAATGTTTTCTCATTATATTATATTGTAAGAAGTATTATGTCCATACATATATGGATTTAACCTGACCTGGATGGGTCACGTGTATCGGCGTCACAACAAACTGCATGTTCTGCGTGGTATCCCTTTACACACAGTGATGCACCAGAGTGTGGAGTGAGACATTCAGCTTGATGTCATGAACTCCCGCACCTAATGTCTGGCTGTGCCAGAAATCACCAGAGTTTATTACACTCAGGGATTTCTGTTCATCCGGCAGTAATGAGCTAGGAAGTATGATACTTTTGTCATTGCTGAGAATGAAATGTAATAAGGGTGAAGTAGTAACTCTGGTACTGTTTGTTCTATTGACTTTGAGTGGGAGAATTCGATACTTCAAGCTGAATCACTGGCCTGTAGTGCTTTGGCGCTAACGTGGCGTTCAGCCGCACGCCACAGAGTGGTTTGTTTTGATGCCTCACTGTGGGAAGGGGTTAAAAGAGGTACTCCTTAATTTTCTACTATTCTTTAGCCCCATGTCACTGGGAAAATCTATTGTTCACTTTTATATTGTTTTGTATTGTTTCTGCACATAGATCCACAAGTCCTTAGCCATGAAGAAGTTAATTAGTAGACCTTGCGACCTCATTCGATTATGGGGAAAAAATAATTTTTGATAGTACTATCAGTATTGATGCTATAATTATTACATTATAACATAATTATTATGATGTTATTGACAATACTAACAAATATAAAATATAAGAAAATATTTCTGAAAAAAAAAAGGGAAAACAGGTGAGATTATACTAGTAATTGGCTAATTGCTGACATAGTACTTGTGGAGCCATATATGTGCAAAGACAATTAACAAACTAAACTCACAGTGGGAATGGCATGTCCGTACATGCTATGCACTCTAATGTATACTAACATAAAAGAAGCCAATAAATTACACAAGTACTAGTTTTTCTAGTAAGTATTGAAGAATATAGAAACATCACTGTAGTTTCCTTTATAGGCAACTGGTAAGACATTAGAGTTATATTGTTATAAGTTCAATTTATTATTGCATCTATGTACAGATATACATAGTATGTGTATGGAGGCTAATACTAATATGGAATGTTCTCAATTGGACAAGGATTTGAAGCAGTATGAGAACTAATATTTAAAATATTTTTTTATTTTCTTGCATAGTACATATGGACCCATGTGAATCATATGTTTTCTTTTCCTTCTTTCAGGATTACTAATATATGCATATATTTTTTATTGCTACAGGCTCCTCAGTAAATCCACTCGACTCTCAATGACAAGGAATGCAGTTTGGGCACTCAGTAACCTGTGCCGAGGAAAGAACCCACCACCAGACTTTGCCCGTGTATCCCCATGTCTCCCAGTTCTGTCCCGTCTACTCTTCCATAGTGATGCTGATGTATTAGCAGATGCCTGTTGGGCTCTTAGTTACCTTAGTGATGGACCCAATGAAAAGATTCAGGCAGTTATTGATGCTGGTGTATGCCGCAGACTTGTGGAACTCTTAATGTAAGTACCTTGTATGTATATATTGTTGCAGATATTTAGAAAGTAAATTTAAGCAGGACCATATTTGGTTTAATTGCTTAGTATTCTAGAAATTGGATGTAATTTCATGCATTTGCATGCTTACCAAGGATATAGATAAAGTAAATAGATGCAAAGATATAGTAATCCAAATCATATGAAAACATACCGTATATTTGTTTGATGGTATTGATATTATTCCTTTTTTATATAAAATGTGAAGGAATGAAGAAATACTTCACTAATGTTACCAAGTTATAACTTTTAATACTTCTACTTTTTAGGTTTAATCAGCACAGTGTTGTTGCAGCTGCCTTGAGAGCAGTAGGAAATATTGTAACTGGAGATGATGTTCAAACACAGGTAATTTGAGTGCTTGATATTTCATTTCCATTTTAGTAAAGTTATAAGGAAAAGTAGAGTACTAGAAACTTGATAGGTGACAGTACACTCACGCACATGCACACCCACGCATACGCACATGCACACCCACGCACACGCACGCACACGCACGCACACGCACGCACACGCACGCACACGCACGCACACGCACGCACACGCACGCACACGCACGCACACGCACACGCACGCACACACACGCTCGCACACTCTCGCACACGCACGCACATGCACACCCACGCACACACACGCACATGCACACCCACGTACACACATGCACATGCACACCCACGTACACACATGCACATGCACACCCACGCACACACACACATGCATGCATATGCACAAAACGCGCACGTGCTTAAACGCACACACGTGCACCACACACACACACACATGCACCACACACACACACACATGCACCACACACACACACACACATGCACCACACACACACACACACACATGCACCACACACACACACACACACACACATGCACCACACACACACACACACACACACACACACACACACACACACACACACACACACACACACACACACACACACACACACACACACACACACACACACATGCACCACACACACACACACACACACACACACACACACACACACACACACACACACACACACACACACACACACACACACACACACACACACACACACACATGCACCACACACACACACACACACACACTACATACACACATGCACCACACACACACACACACACACACACACACACATGCACCACACACACACACACACATGCACCACACATACACACACACATACACCACACACACACACACACATGCACCACACACACACACATGCAACACACACACACACATGCAACACACACACACACATGCAACACACACACACACACACACACACATGCAACACACACACACACACACACACACACACACACACACACACACACACACACACACACACACACACACACACACACACACACACACACACGCACCACATACACACACACACGCACACACTCACACACTCACACACACACATATACACACACATACACACACCCACACGCCCACACACTCACACACACACACACACACACACACACACACACACACACACACACACACACACACACATACACACACACACACATATATATACACACACACACACACACACACACACACACACACACATACACACACACACATATATACACACACACACACACACACACACACACACACACACACACACACACACACACACACACACACACACACACACACACACACACACACACACACATGCACCACACACACACATGCACCACACACACACACATGCACCACACACACACACATGCAACACACACACACACACATGCACCACACACACACACACACATGCACACACACACACACACACACACACACACACACATGCAACACACACACACACACATGCACCACACACACACACACACATGCACCACACACACACACACATGCACCACACACACACACACACATGCACCACACACACACACACACATGCACCACACACACACACACATGCACCACACACACACACACATGCACCACACACACACACATGCAACACACACACACACATGCAACACACACACACACATGCACACACACACACACACACACACACACACACACACACACACACACACACACACACACACACACACACACACACACACACACACACACACACACACACACACATACACACACACACACACACACACACACGCACCACATACACACACACACGCACACACTCACACACACACACACACACACACACACACACACACACACACACACACACACAGACAAGCGCTCACACAGGCATGCATGCACACATGCATCACACACTCTTGGATACATCATACACACTTGTGTAGCTCACATACATGTGCAACAAATACATGCAGTTCACATACATTTTAACACTATACTGACGGGATAAGAAAATAAAAAAAATTCCACAGTTCGAGCAGTTTGTTATGACAGGTCAGTGTATAACCTGTCGGTATGGGGTTAAGATACAACACCTGCAACATGTGTATCATGTCCAACACAGACGCATACTTTCAACACATTCAACATTCAACATGTGCAACTCACACTTGTAGCCCACATGCATGCAACACATGCACAAGTATATACTACGCGCACACACGTGTACACACACACAAGTATATACTACGCACACACACTTGTACACACACACAAGTATATACTACGCACACACACGTGTACACACACACAAGTATATACTACGCACACACACGTGTACACACACACAAGTATATACTACGCACACACACGTGTACACACACACACAAGTATATACTACGCACACACACGTGTACAAACACACACAAGTATATACTACGCGCACACACGTGTACACACACACAAGTATATACTACGCACACACACGTGTACACACACACACACTTTCAGCACACACTTGCATGCATACAAAGCACGTTTGCTGCATGCACATATACATACACAGCACATGTACAAACATGATATTCACAAGAAACCAGGAGACAGACATATTTCATATGTACAACACATGATATAAAGGGTAATGCACAAGCATATATCATACATAATACAGACCAGCACAATGTAAATAGAAGTATACCACACATGGACACAGCACAGATGAAAAACACCAAACAAGTTTATTGCACAATACACACATGCCCCCTACAGTAGATGCACTGATATACTTTTATGGAAATATCAAGGTTCCATCAAGTTATTAATAAACAAATTTTTCTCATCAGGTAATCCTTAACTGTTCTGCCTTGCCATGTCTGCTACACCTGCTAGCATCCCCCAAGGAATCCATCCGAAAAGAAGCATGCTGGACCATTTCAAATATCACAGCTGGCAATCGCTCTCAGGTATTTGTTTTTAGAATCACATTACTGTAGCTTGTATTTACTTAACACAGGGGACCTATTGGCCATATGCTGAAGGATGATCCAAAATTTGCTAGCAAAAGAACGTTTATGAAACTTATTTAACAGTTATCTTGGTTTAATTTGGATTGGAATGTTGTTGAAGGGCACTCTAGAAATTGCTTGTATACATTTTTTGGTCATTTGGTAATGAATATATCTTTTGTAACCTTTGGGTCTCTTCTTTGCACAGACTCCATATCAACTCTCTAGGTAGTCTGCAATTAAATGCAAGAAAAATAAAACTATGTAACACTATGTTATTTTTGTCTTAACCCCTTGCCGCCGGGTGACGGCGATACGCGTGTAAACAAATCGCTCGAAAGGTGGCGTGCGGCCAAACCAGCCGGCGGCGCGCCAAAGCGCGGCGAGCCAGTGATTCGGGCTGACGCCCCGTACTCCTGCGCTCAAAGTCGGCGCGCTGCCTTTGTTTGCCAGAGCGTAGAGTTTTATTTTCCTTTAGTACACCCGGCGTCATTGGGTTAAAAAAAAATTAAACGTAAATTTTCTGTAATATAACCTGTGTGGCCGCTCATGGTACCAGGAATATGATGCTACGCTTGGAAATAGCGTCCTCCATGGAGCTGGTATTTTTCCAGTCATTGCTCACGGACATTTCATTCCACACTCATGCATCAATGAGTACAATGCAAAATTGCCAAATGAGTCCAATAAACCTCCCAAGAGGTTTGTGCACTTATGGCAAGTCTTTTCCATCACCCTGGCCTTCAACCAAAATGCATTAGACAGCAGCTGCGTGTCACCCAGTTTACAGCCAGATTTTCCAGTGACGGCATGTTCACATTACCCGCCCTCCGATCCAGATTTTTTTGTGATGTGATGGTCGTGTCACCTCTATTGAAGGGGTTAACATAATTAGGCTACTACAGGTTTGATTTGTAGTTTTGAGTGTTGTGGTTATAAGAAATTAACAATTCTAGTTTTGTTTATTCCCAACAGATTCAAGCTGTGATAGATGCAAACATATTTCCTGTTTTGATTGAGATCCTTGGCAAAGCTGAATTCAAGACCAGGAAGGAAGCTGCATGGGCCATCACCAATGCCACTTCTGGTGGAACACCTGCACAGATTAGATACCTTGTTGAACAGGTTAGGCTGAAAGAAATTTGATTTTAATTTTAATTTTGCATGTAATTGGTTCCTTGTCAGTTATTAACTTAATACTCATGATAGTAAAGTTAAGAGTATATATTTCTAATCTTCATTTGTGTCTTGTTTATAGGGCTGTATACCACCTCTCTGTGATCTGCTAACAGTCATGGATGCCAAAATTGTCCAGGTGGCTCTTAATGGCATTCAGAACATTCTTCAGCTTGGTGAACAAGAAGCCAAGACAACATTTGGTGTCAATCCATATGCTGTGTTAGTTGAAGAATGCTATGGTAAGTCAGAGTTGCATTCAATTGGTAATTGGTGCATTTTTGTTACTAGTTACAAAATAACATCTATAGCAGAACATAAGTGCATACATGCACACACCTGCAGACACATGCACATACCTGCACACGTGCTCATGCATACACCTGCAAACATGTATACATACCTGCACATGCACATGCCTGCACATGCACACACCTGCACACATGCACATGCATACACCTGCAAACATGTATACATACCTGCACATGCACATGCCTGCACATGCACACACCTGCACACATGCACATGCATACACCTGCAAACATGTATACATACCTGCACATGCACACACCTGCACACACCTGCACATGCACATGCCTGCACATGCACACACCTGCAGACACATGCACATACCTGCACACGTGCTCATGCATACACCTGCAAACATGTATACATACCTGCACATGCACACACCTGCACACATGCACATGCATACACCTGCAAACATGTATACATACCTGCACATGCACACACTGCACATGCACACACCTGCACATGCACATGCCTGCACATGCACACACATGCACACACCTGCAGACACATGCACATACCTGCACACGTGCTCATGCATACACCTGCAAACATGTATACATACCTGCACATGCACACACCTGCACATGCACATGCCTGCACATGCACACACCTGCACACATGCACATGCATACACCTGCAAACATGTATACATACCTGCACATGCACATGCCTGCACATGCACACACCTGCACATGCACATGCCTGCACATGCACACACCTGCACATGCACACACCTGCACATGCACATGCCTGCACATGCACACACTGCACATGCACACACTGCACATGCACACACCTGCACATGCACATGCCTGCACATGCACACACCTGCAGACACATGCACATACCTGCACACGTGCTCATGCATACACCTGCAAACATGTATACATACCTGCACATGCACATGCCTGCACATGCACACACATGCACACACCTGCACACACATGCACACACCTGCACACACCTGCACACACCTGCACATGCACATGCCTGCACATGCACACACCTGCACACACCTGCACATGCACACACCTGCACATGCACATGCCTGCACATGCACACACCTGCACATGCACATGCCTGCACATGCACACACCTGCAGACACATGCACATACCTGCACACGTGCTCATGCATACACCTGCAAACATGTATACATACCTGCACATGCACATGCCTGCACATGCACACACCTGCAGACACATGCACATACCTGCACACGTGCTCATGCATACACCTGCAAACATGTATACATACCTGCACATGCACACACATGCACACACCTGCACACATGCACATGCATACACCTGCAAACATGTATACATACCTGCACATGCACATGCCTGCACATGCACACACCTGCACATGCACATGCCTGCACATGCACACACATGCACACACCTGCACATGCACATGCCTGCACATGCACACACCTGCACATGCACATGCCTGCACATGCACACACCTGCACAGATTAGATACCTTGTTGAACAGGTTAGGCTGAAAGAAATTTGATTTTAATTTTAATTTTGCATGTAATTGGTTCCTTGTCAGTTATTAACTTAATACTCATGATAGTAAAGTTAAGAGTATATATTTCTAATCTTCATTTGTGTCTTGTTTATAGGGCTGTATACCACCTCTCTGTGATCTGCTAACAGTCATGGATGCCAAAATTGTCCAGGTGGCTCTTAATGGCATTCAGAACATTCTTCAGCTTGGTGAACAAGAAGCCAAGACAACATTTGGTGTCAATCCATATGCTGTGTTAGTTGAAGAATGCTATGGTAAGTCAGAGTTGCATTCAATTGGTAATTGGTGCATTTTTGTTACTAGTTACAAAATAACATCTATAGCAGAACATAAGTGCATACATGCACACACCTGCACATGCCCACACCTGCACACCTGCACACCTGCACACACCTGCACACACATGCACACACCTGCAGACACATGCACATACCTGCACACGTGCTCATGCATACACCTGCAAACATGTATACATACCTGCACATGCACACACCTGCACACATGCACATGCATACACCTGCAAACAT